TACGTTGGGTAATTTTGCCAATTCATTTGAGTTAATATTGAAGAGCAGTAGCAAGAGCAGTTCAAGTGTGAAGTATCAATAAATGTGTTTCATAATGAAATAAAAATATGCATGACAAAATATTTACCACTGTTGTCTATAATAGTGTCTTGGTGGGCTATATTAGTTCTACAGTATGACTTGTATCTGTCTCAAAATTTGCCTTTTTTTTCTACTATCTTAATAGAAACTTAAGGCATAATTCTTCTCTGTTTGTCTATCTCCACTTGTCCCATGTTATTGGGGGTGGGGTGCTCAAAAGAGAGCTTGGACTGGGCACAGCCTCCTGTGGAAAATATGGACTGATCAGGGTCTGTAAAAAGAAGGCTTCAGTACTGGCTTTAAGCTTAGAATAGGCTCCTTCAGGCTACTTCAAAAAATGAAATTCCTGTTAACTTTAAGATGATATATTATTTTCACTGGAGTATCTTTTATAATTTAGCATGTAGATTACAAAGGCATTTTGATCTCAATATTATTTTTATAGGTGAATCTGGCAGAGACTGAAATTACTAAAATGGCATCTGACTATGCAGAAAATGAATTAGAATTGTTCAGAAAAACAGTAAGTATGTTATTTGTTAGCAAATTGTATAATTCTTAATTTTATACCAAATCACATAGGGAATAAAATAGTATACAGAAGCAGTAATTCCCTACTGAAATAAACTGAAATCAGTAACAGGGGAGTGCTCCTTGAAGTGAATAACTTGGCATATCTGCTTCTAGTTAAGCAGACATCATCAGGAACTTCTAGGTTTTTTAGCTAAAATTGTTGAATCTTGTTAAAAAAAAAAAAAAAAACAGACACCTCACAGGTTTCAGCACTCCACTAATATACATTAGATTTTAACAGTAATAATGTAGAAATTGAATTCAGTGGATTTAAATGGAAACATTCTGTGTATTGTAATGGTAGCCAATTCATTCTGTATTTAATTACCAGTCAGAGCAATTTTTAATTAGATCTGTTTGATCTGGATACCAAGATACTCTGTGTCCAATTTCATACCAGCAACCAGTATTTTGAGTTACRATAGCTATGTATTTTTCATGTTTTGGTAGGTTGTTCTCATAATGCTTTGAACTTYGTGAACATAATTTATCCACCCATTGGACTTTCCTGGTTTTGCACTAGAGTCCCTAAGATACATTTTTTTCTATATAAACTGGAAATAGTAGTGTTTCCACAGCTGCTGAAGTCTCATTAAACTGACAGTATCCAGGGATTTTTTAGTATTGTTGTAACACCAGTACAGTCGTGTGCAGAGACAACATTGTCATGCACATATTAATATTACCATATAAACTGCATGTTACTCTGTGATAATGAGCAGCATGAATATTCCCATTGAGGGAATCTCTGAAAATAGGTAAGAGTGCTATAACCTATATGTGCCGGATAGGTTCAGCAGTACCATTGAATCCAGAGGGGACAAATTTACTCTAGTAGCTGAAGATCTTTCCTAAAAGAAAGGGATGCATCAGACCAGAATATGCTCAAAAGTCATTGCATTCAGCTTCATTTAGGCAACACTGTACATGTTTTTGGCAAAGAATAAAATTGGGAAGGCAATTGTCAAATTGTTCTATCTTTTGACCTGAGTTTTACATAGTTCTGGTTCAAGCCATATACTGTAATATATACTAGYGCATATGTATACAGGAAAAGTGGTATATTACTATAAGCTGTGCTTAGCTAATTGCATGCTTTTTTTTAATAGCTAAAAATATTTCTTCCTATAGATGGACCTAATCATTTTATCAGAAAATGGCTTTGCCTCTTCCACGGAGATTTTAAACTTTGCTGACCAATTGAAGACAAAGAAAATGAAGAAAAAGGAAGCAGAGCAAGTATTGAAACTTTTTGTAGAGGATAAGTGGCTCTCTGAGGTAACAAATGTTTTTTACACAATGTTTGTATTTTAATAGGTTGGGATACTCTTTTTTCATGGATGTGATGGCTGAAATTGGAACTGTTTTTCAATGAACATTAGCAAAAATCATTTTGTGGGTCCTGTCCTTATTGTCACCCAAGTCAAAAATTTTTGAAGGTAGTACATTTACAAGSACGAAGTCCTTGGGCAGAACATTCTTAAAGCTTGGATCAATAGAGAAGGTCATCAGTGCTGTCAGTAGCATTTGTGGTTCCTTGGAAAATGCAGTGAGGTCAAATGAGGTGCAGTGAAAACTCCTGTACCAGCAGTCCCTCCACCTCTGTGCACATCTGGAGATTCTTTTTTTTTTAATTTCATGAGCCAGATACTGAGTTGACACTGCAGCTGTTTGTTAGGACTAGTGAGACCTCAATTCCTTCTCTGCTGGATGCATCCCATCCTAGATCTCTAGCATACCACCACATTTTCTTATGTTGCAGTGTTTTAGCAGACATTCTCCAAGATGCATCAAGCGGCAAGATTTTGCTGAAAGCCAGTAGAAGTTTCTGTAATGCATAAATGAAGGACGCCCAAACTGTCTCTGTTTAAGGAGGGCATGCTTGCCTGCCTTCTAAAGACAACATCTCTTTTAAGGATGTGGGATCACTCTTTTAATCCTCTAAGCAAATAAGGTTCTGCCACTTCACAAGTATTTTGTCAGTGTTGGCATGTTTATTTCTCTATGGCAAAAAAGTGGATGTCAATTGTTTGCTGAAGGGTGGTAAGCAAGGTCAAAAGGGGCCAAAGGAACTAAAACAAGTTGTCTCACTAGTTGTTGTTTCCTTAGAAAAATGGGGAATATACGCTGCATACTCGCTGCATAATGGAGATGGAACAATATATTCTCAGCAACTACCAAGGTGTAGCAAGGAAATGCAACATCTGTCACAGCCTTGCCATCCAGGTAACAATTGTCTGGATAAACCTACCAGGCATCTGCTGATGGACTATCGTGGTCATAGCTGAAGTGTGTGATAGTTTCTTTTGAATGTCAGTTAAGTAATAAAATTTCTAGTCTTGTAATCTGGTAAAAGTGTTCATGTATATTAAAAAAAATCTTGTCAGCACAGRTATTTTCTGCCCTCAGAAAAAAAAAATATTGTATTGACTTGGAGAAAGTGAACAGATCACACTACCTTGCTTTCTAAGCCCAGCAGGCCAGAAGTGAATCCTTATCCTTACACAGGTATAATAGTAAGGATTAGCTAGGTCAATTTTTAATTGTATTTAATAATAGCAAGAATTAGCAAGGGCAATTTTTAATGTAATGCACATCCATTTTTGGTCCTGGGATTTTGGTACAGAAATTACCTGAATCTTTGAGTTTAGAATGAGTGTGTGTGTATGTGTTTTGTCTTCCGTCCCAATCACTCTCCTTTGTTGCACATAAATAGCTCTGTGCTGTTGAGCTTTCAAGTTAAATTTTACCCATATAAAGAAATTTCCTAGTTTCCAGGAAAATGCCTTCCTTTAACTTTACTGGCATTGTTTTACGAGTGTCTTCCAACTGTAATGTGTGAAGCATTCTTTGGGATAAAGCACTGTATAATAGCGGTAACCCTTCCGACAACTTTGTATTGAAATGAAGCAGTGAATAGAGAAGTTTTTTTTACCTGTACTTCTGATTTTAGAGCCAAGTCTGTGAAACCTGTGGAATTGGAATGCATTTACCGTGTGTTGGAAAATACTTCAAAGCTCAGACTGAACCACACTGTCCTCACTGTAATGATTTCTGGCCTCATGAGATTCCAGGTAAAAAACAACCTATTTTAAAAAATGTATGTCATAATACTAAGGAGTAGACTGTGATATTAAATTACACTGCCTATGACCTTCATAGTTATGGTTGAGTATACATTATTCCTTAATTTAATCAACAGTAAATCACCCTTAGGTAACACTGAGCACTGGAACTGCCAAAAATATGTCTTGGAGTAGATTACTAGTAGATATTGTGACTCATATTCCTGATAGCATTAAAATTAAAAACCTCTAACTCCTCAAAATTCCCACAGAAACKAAAACTCCTGCAAAACCTAAAAGCAAAATTAAAATTACAACCAAAAACCTTTGGATATACTGACTTTCTACTGACTTTTCATTTAGCCAGTGAAATGTGATGTCATGAACAGAAGCACAAGAATATATAAAGCATTTRGAGAAGCTGCAGGTCATGCCCTATCATCCTTTTTGTCACTCGGTAACCTTGCTTTTCTGTTTTCTTGACAGAGGTGAGTCGGATAGATTCTCAGTTGTCATCAAAAAGAGAGAGAGGAAAAGAGCTTCATTCTCACCGCTAAATAGTGTTAAGACTGCTTTCAGTGATTTTTTCCCCTTTCTCTTGCAGAACAGCCAGACTGTAATTGTATTCATTAACAGTGTAATTTTAAGTGTTTATTGTTTTCCAAAGTTGCAATAAAATTGTCATTGACCTTACTGCTCTCCCAAACAATTATGTCTGCACAGCTTTTCCAGAGGCAGAAAATGGTTGAGGTTGGAGGGATCTCTAGAGATCATCCAGTCTGAGCTCAGGCAYGGTCACCTAGAGCAGGCTGCCCAGCAGGTCTGCCCTGTTTTTTGAAAGGATGTTTTTTCCTTGCAAGAGTGGCTTGATAAAGACACTATACTGCCAAATGCTAGAGCCTTGAATGACAATATAYCTTCCCTTGGTAGAAAGGAAAAGAATGCAATACTTTCTCAGAGAAAGGAGGAGAGCCAGCAGTTCCATTGATGATTAACCAAAGTATTATTTAATTGAACTGTGGATTAGCTACAATTCATTGTAGCCCTARTTCTTAATACTATTATTCTTTTCCACATCAGAGATGGGTATCATACTTCATGTTGGCACTTTAACATACTGAATCAGTGGGCAGCATTCTTCCTCGCTGTTTACATAACTGTGAGGCATTTACAATTTTTACTGTTACTAAATCGAAACAGAAGGAAACTAGCTGGATTATATACATCTCTCTCTCTTTTTTTTTTTTTTTTTTTTGCCATGGTGTCTCATTAGTACCCATGTATAGAACTGCTTTGGATTTACACACACATACAAGACAGTGAGCTGGCAGATGTTCTTTACAAGGAGTTTATATTGGAAACATTTACAAAAATAAAGTATCTGTAGCAACATATTTCCATGTAGTTGTCCAGATTCTTTCATTCTGCTGAAGCAGAAATTATTTCTTTTTAATCCAGCCCTGAACTGGACTCCGGATGGAGATTTCTCATGTTTAAAAATAATTGTCTTCTGTAGCATGTCAAAAGTTACCTTTTCCTCTTTCTAATTGCTATTAAAGTTCTAAGAAGCGTTAGGCATGCTTCTCAGTTATGACCACCAGAAACTTACAGAGAAGCTGATATCAAGAGATCGTACATAGTGCCAGTATTTAACTGGAATAAACAAAACCTGTCCAGGCATTAGAATACAAGATTGAGATGAAGCGTTTCTAAAGTTGGGAAACTTTATTAAGTCAGGATTCTCCACATCGACCTATTTAATTTAAAAAAAAAAAAAAAAAAAAAAAAGTCGTTACTCAAGTATTTTTTCATAAAGTAACCTTACTGACTTTAAAATTTCAGGCAAGTATTTACCTGACTAGTGTTGTGAAGAAGTTGGCTTTCATGTGGATATAGGTTCTCCGAATCTTGCGTTGAATACAGACAGATATATTTTCTTCCAAATACCTGTAGATATTACAATATATGTTTGCCACCTGTCATTATTGTGCACACTATCAGAAAAAATAGTTTAAGTTTTGTTAACTAGCGAGTCTGATATACTGCACTCTGGTGTATATATTGCTGGTTATCTTGAGAATGACAAAAATTACCAAGAGAATAATAAGAAACATCACTACCTGCTATTAATAAAGACAGAAAATTGAAACAAATCAAACTATAATAGAATCCAAGTACCTGCTCTATTGGTGCAGGTTAGAATTTGAAATACCAGCAAAACCCTCCAAACTACTTTAAATTCAAAGTTCAAGACACAGAATGTATATGATTATTTGGGCTCCACATAGCTAGAYAGTAATTGTCAGGAGTGAGAATAGGGAGGTAGATTCATCGRTGCAGTCCACATCAGCAGACAGTGAATGCTAAGCTTGCATATGCTACTTCAGCTCTTACTGCAGCATGGTTGGAGTCCTTGATTGGGTGACTAGAATTAATAACGCAAGCAGACTGCCTGTCCAGAGCACTACATTGAACTGCAGGGAGGCTGTGCTTGCCAAGCAGGCTTGCCTGGATGAAGTGGCAGAATAAATGTGTCCTCCTGCTGTCCTGTGCTCACAGCAGCAGAATGCCCACAAAAGGAAGAGCAAATACGCATGCTGCTTGTGCCAGGTTTCAAGATTTCAAGGGCCAGTAGTGATCACATCTGTTTGGGAATGTCACACTAAACAAAATAAATCCATACTCTGATGTAACTGCATCTAAAAATATGCTGGACTGAACTGTGCTACCAAACTATTCCTAAACAGGTTGCTCTATCTTAACATTTCTTCCCATATCATAGAACAAGCTTTTATGAATGCTATCACTATCTGAGTGTTAATGTCAGGTTCTGAAAAGTTCTGAAACTTGTAAGGGAAGCATCTTTTTTTGGTTCAACAGTTCCTTCTATATTGGCTCTCCATCTGTATGTTATAAGCATGTTTTATAGCTATAGCATTGATAGCATGCTTCAGAAAAGTAGAGTACAGACCTGGGCTAAGAAATTTTGCTGGGGATCCTGATGTAGCGGTGAGATGGTGCCTTCTGGGCCAAACCAAGCATTAATGGTGATGTTGTCCTCTTCCCCTTCTCCCAGGCAGCAGTAATCAGGGATACTGATATCYTCCTTCAGTTCTGGTATCTACTCCATGAAGAAAAAAAGGTATTAAAAATACAATGTGCTGATTTGCACAAAATACATAAATAATTCTTAGAACAAAATAGCTCAGCTTGATACAAAGAGAACAGATCATCTACTTGTCTCCAGCCAAGGCAGTGCAGAAGTAACTAGAATGTTGGGAATCTAYCGGAAATGTCCCCAAACTTTCTGTCCTATCAAGCAAATCCTGTTGGAGGGAGGAAGAGGTGGGGAAAAGAAAGGGAAGGTGTTTCTTATTTTTCAGAGACCTTTTTCTTTGGTAGACACCAGAGAATCCCAAAGAGCAAAAACTACAAAAATGAGTAGGTTTGCTGATCATGGAAAAGGAGCAGCTTATCTTTTATATGCTAAACTTGCTTMTCTCTGAGGTTCTTTTACAAGAATCCCACCTAGCTAATCTCCTGTAATTACCTGGAATGACATATCAGAACATGGTTGATAGATTACCACTGAAGAGTGTTTGCTGGCCAAATCTCTTCCCTCAGTTACATATTCTTTGGGATAATGCTGCTTTCCAGGTGGTATCCACAGAACTACATGCCACACTGTCCTGAAACAGTACTAAAACTAAATKCTTTCACTTCTGGAAGGATTTTGTTTCCACTCCTTTCAGCTGAGTGAAACCACCCCTGTTCTTTCAATTTGTGGAAAAAACAAAGAAATACAGTGAATCCTCCCCCATCATGACTTTCCATCTAGCAGAGATGATATCCTCAAAATTACTTGTGATTTCTTGTCCTTTAAAGGAAACAAATGACTGCACAAAGATAAAAACATTCACTCTGTTTTACCTGATCAAAAAGTTGGTGCTGGGCAAGGTATCCTACGCTGTTCTGAAATTRCAGTAGATAAAGAAAAAAAGAAATGCATAGTGACATATAGGGTAAGGCTTCAGAGTCATGTTTATGGAATTTATTTATAGTTAAGATCAGTTTCCAATGTGGCATTTCAAAGTACATGAATTGTCTCAGCACTGGACTAATATAAAAGGCCTTCTGGAATAACAGCCAACATCTATACTGAAATGGCAGGAGTGTAGATACATCCTCATAATTAACAAATCACTTGGCTTAAGTTGCTGGAAGGAACCTAGCAGTAGTGCTATGGAGTCTGGCAGCTACTCTCTTGCCAGCCTCTGCAGCAGGGCGGCCAGTTCGCTCCCTATAGGTATCTGCATACGCTAGTCCAGGCTGTACCAGAGAGCAGCCCGCAATGACACACACTGCTACCTGCCAGTAGACTAAGGGACAGAAAATGAGAGCTTCTGATCTTCAGCTGTCCAGGTAAAAGGACATTAAATATTTAGTCGCTTGCCTAATTTTTTTACTTAATGGATGTGAAYGTGGACCTATATCCTGGATCTCACTAAGCAGTTTTATTAAACTCAGAGAAACAGTACTACTGGCTGGGCTGCAGAGCTGAATTAAATCCCTTATGCTAAATTGGATGCTGCCATCCAGGCTTTTGATGCAGATGATATCTATTTAYTAAATTCCAGCAGCTGTACATTAGATTATATAATCAAAGCTAATTATTATTGCAATAACTATCTGTGCTTCAGATCTTGAAAATATTTCAAGTATKTTAATTCAGAGTTGCCTCTATAATATGCCTCCTCCATTAAGATCACCTCTAAGTACCTGTGGTCTAATAAGTTCCAACTAGGCAGAATTCTCTGTTCCAGTGGCACCTTGCTGTATTTGGAAAAACATGAGAGTAACAGACCTTGTTCATTATATACTGGTCGATGAAGTCATTGACAGTCATGAGCTTCTGCGACCATTCCTCATCTGTATATCGGGAACCCAATTCTACTGGAACTGTACGACACCCCGCAATCTGACCAAGATAGTCCACACTGAAAGAGAGAAAGTTCCATCACCCCTTTATAGTGCTCTCTGAGTACGAAATCCATCTTTCAGAGCAGTAAATGCTGGTTACCACCATGACTTCTTCCCTCTAAGACCAACCAGACAGAGACAAAGAGTAGCAAAAAAGACGCAAGCATTAAGGAAACGAGCAGTAAAGGCAGTGTATATTTTATGTCAYGGTATGTTTTGGTTTTTTAACTTTGCGTGGCCTATTTTAAACCTCATTGAATATTTTCTTAACTAACATTTTCTTTTGAGCTAAGGAGATTTAAGCAGCTAGTTTCTCTTTACCAGCTACAACTAATTTTTTTTTGATGCCTTATACCAACTTTGCTGAATAAAACTGCTTTCCAACATAATATTCTGGAGTGATTTGATGCCCTTGACTCCTGCTGCTTGTGGAAAAACACATAAAAGTGAAGGAAACAGCCTTGCAAAGAGGCAGCAGTGGGAGCTGCCCTGGCGGAAACCACTCGTGGGCCACCCRGTGGAGCTGATCTCACCTCCATTTGGTCATGCACGGCCAGTGGTCAATGACCCCTTCGAGGACAACCGGCTTCTGCGGGATTAGGTAGTGGTCTCGGAAGTGCTCCAGCGAAGGGCAGCGCACGCAGGGCACCGCGTCTGCCGCCTGGATAACGGGAGCCGGGGGGGCAGCCCGGAGCGCCTGCAGGAGGAGCGGCGCCGTGAGCGGCGGCTCGCGGAGCTCCGCGGCGCCGAGCCCAGGGTCCCCGAGCAGGGACCCCGCAGGAGCCCGCGCAGCCCCGGCCCAGGCCCTGGGCAGCGGGACCCCGGGCGGGGCGCCGGGCTCTGCCGACTACCGTGGAGAGGGGAGCAGGGGCCGTCAGCGCCGTGGGCACCGCGGGAGGGGCGGCAGGGGCCGCGGTACCTGGCTCGGGGCGGCGGGAGGGCCGCGGGGCAGCCGGGCCTGCAGGACGCGCACCAGCCGCGCCAGGACGTTGTCGAGGACAGCGGCGCCCATGAGCAGCCCCAGGTCGCAGAGGCGCAGGGCGGGCGCCACGGGGCCGCCGCCCGCCGCCGCCGCCAGCGCCGCGAACAGGCAGCCGTAGGTGTAGAGCTGCCGCCAGCGCTTGGGCACCTCGCGCCAGGGCGCCGCGTTCAGCTGCTCCCAAGCGTAGTCGCGCAGGACGTGGCCGAGGCGCCCCAGCGCCGCCAGCTCCGGCTCCCGCGGGGCGCCGGCCGCGCCGTAGAGCAGCGCGCGCGCGCGGCGCAGCAGCGGCCCCACGCTCGCCTCGACCTCGTCGTCCAGCGGCGGCAGCAGCTCCTCGGCCGCACCGG